CAATACACCAACAAATACAAGAAGCAGGGTTGTCTCACAGCTGCCATCTGTGCTGCTTGAATAAATGCTGGTAAAAGAGTTATTTGGCATTCATGGAAAGTTCACATGAACCTTCTGAGGCTGGGTCAGCATTAATATGAATGGTGGTGGGCAAGTAGTATTTGGAAATGTGTGGAAAACTTCAGGAGAAAAAACAACAGTTAAAATGTAGGGAAACAATGAAATTAAGTATCTCAAATATTTAATGTTGAATAATACATAACATAAGATGGGAAAAGTGGTGAGAAATGTGGATTTGTGTCTCGAGGGAGACATATAAACATTCCAGAAATATGAAAACTAATATCTAAATATAAGGAGAACTCCGAGGACTTAAAGAATTTTAGAAATGATTTTCTCTTTGTAAATGTTTATCTTGAGGATATGATATCTAGCATTTAAAATATTTATTTAAAATATTCATTTAAAAGATTTATTTCTTTCTTCTATACTACTAAATTTTCTAATTTAATATTTGACATAGGCTAGGTACTATGTACTATATACATATTTTCATACATATATAATATATATGTATGAAAAACAATTCTAGGTAGAGAATACAACATGTGAAATAATATTTCATTTGTGTTTAATTGGGGGTTGATGAAACCCAAAAAAGTCCCTGTTGCAGATTAGGGAGCATTTGCATGAGACTAAAGAAAGTCTTATTAGAATAGTTATGCTGGGTGAAATGCATTGAATTGACAATGCTAATCTTAGGTCATTTTATTATTTTCCACATAACGAGTTTATATAACTTGTCCCAAATATCAGAAATATAAATAATAGTTTCCTATCTTGCCAATATCGCTCTAAATGTTAATTCTTAAGCAAGAACTGTGTTTCCTTTCCACAAATGTGTGCTGGAAGAGAAGAATGCAATTTGTTTTCATTTGAGAAAACATTTTAATCTGTATCAAATGAATGCAATTGGACACATACAACTATGTTAATCCTAATGCAGGGAAAGAGGAAAGGAATAACATTTTGTGAATTCTGAGAATTGGCAAGACTGACAGTTAAAATATTGGATGTTCAAGAAACAAAGAGGAATCAGTGAGATTCAATAGGATATGAAAAAGTAGATTTCTGTTTTGACTAATTTATTGCCACTGCAGGATTATGTGAGTTTAAGAATAGAAGCAATCAGAGCTGAATATCAGAAGATACCGTCATTTCTCCACGAAGAAGAGCAACATCATTTGGAGAGGCTGCAAAAGGACGGCGAGGACATTTCTCAGCAACTC